GACATGTAGATGGAGAAGAGAAGAGGTCCAAGCACTGAGCCTTGAGGAACCCCAGTAGCAAGAAGTTGTGACTTAGAAACCTCACCCCTCCAAGACACCCTGAAAGACCTACCTGAGAGGTAAGACTTGAACCATTGGAGTGCTGTTCCTGAGATGCCCATCTTTATGAGGGTGGACAGGAGGATCTGGTGGTTAACTGTGTCAAAAGCAGCAGACAGATCCAGCAAGATGAGTACTGAGGATTTGGAAGCTGCTCTTGCCGGTCTCAGGGCTTCAGTAACCGAGAGCAGGGCAGTCTCAGTTGAGTTGAGCCACCATTTGTAGAATATCAAAATATTGCTATTGTATTTCACAAAAAGTGCAGTTGCTAAATAATACTGCATATTTGTCTCATTGAAATGTAGAGCAAAGCACTGAGTTTAAGTTGGTATGCTGATTTAAATTAACAATCGTAATCATGAAACAGTGAAAAGTAGTAAGTATAAAATGTAAAAAGTATTCATTTTTATACAGAAAATACAAAAATGAACTGGATTCTCTGAATCTACAGCTCTTAATAAAATACCAGTGTTATTCCATAGAATCATACATTTATAGATCATGGTAACCACCACGTGCAATGGTTCATCACTACGGAGGTAAAAAATAACTATATGGCTTTTATAGCACTATGGTATTTATGAAAAACAGCATTTCATATCTAGTCAGTTGTAGTCATTTTTATTCTGCTAGATCTTTCCAGTGAAACAATCATTTTGTGTCAGTCAGAAAAAAAAAGTATTTTTTCAAAGTTCCTTGTATGTGTATTTACTGCATCCCCACATCAGACATTTGAATAAATGAAATAAAACTCATATACAGCAATGGAAATTGGGTTGGTGTTGCAGGTCTATCATGCGTGGCTGTGATAGCATTTGTAGTTACTGTATAGTGCCTTTTTCTCGTGGCAGAGAAAGGAGCAGACCCCTGTCTTCCATCTTGGAGGAGGTCCGCAGGTAAAAGGGTTGAGTTTACAATACAGTGCAATATGGATGTAATAAACCTAAAATAAAAGCCTGTGATCTATGATGGTGAGGTAAAGTGTGTACGTTTGTTTGTGTGTAGGGGGTGAAGGAGGTCACACTGGGGCAGAATGTGAACAGCTATAGGGACTTGTCTGAACAGCAGTTTATCTGTTCTGAGGGCAGTACTCAGCTCAGCCGAGGCTTCAAGACCATGTACCGCACAAAACAGGGAGGCCTCCGCTTCTCTGACCTTTTGGACAGAGTGTCCCAAATTGATCCAGACATGACGATACGCTTTACCTCACCACATCCTAAAGACTTCCCTGATGAGGTAGGTACTATGAAGTCCCAACATGATGGGGCATTCTAGTCACAAATGCATTCTGCTTTTCTAGAATAAATTTTGATAGTTCTACCTAGGTGTGATTCTTTACCTCTAATTACACAGTCAGGTCCTTGTAAAGTTGTCAAACTAATAAACAGTCATTTACTGAGTTACAACACCAAAACAATTTACATTGACTGCTGCTATAGCATGCATGTCATGACAATTATTAAATGGTTTGAATTATAAGGAAAATATGATTTTAAAAAAAACACTGCTTGATTATTAATAATGTATCATCATTCTTTTTCAAAAAAACAAAACATCTAAAAGAAAAAATGATTTTTTGAAATAAACCAGTCGTTAGTCAGTAATGTTGGTCTTTTTGAGCTGCATCAGTTGAAGCTGAAGAGTGAATGAATGCCGGTAAACTGAAGCACTTTGCCCAGCAGATTTGTAAACTCAGCCAAATACACCCTATTTGAGATTAATATTATATATGTTACTTAGCCAAAATCATCACAATTAAAAGAACCAAAGACTTAAACTACTTCAGTCTGTGTGCATTGAATTTATTTAATACACGAGTTTCACAATTTGAGTTGAATTACTGAAATAAATGAACTTTTCCACGACATTCTAATTTATTGACATGCACCTGTATTACAATTTAAATGTGCACAGTATGATGCACTCTTCCTGTGACAGTGTGCTAAACTACAGGCAACTAAAGCACAAAGATTTTCACAATTATTACAATAGTGTACTTATTTTATGTTTTATATATATATATATATGACAGATTGATGCCGCACATCTTTCACATCTTGCACTTAACTGTATTTTCATTATTAAAGTGATTTCAGTCATTACTGTGCACTTTCAAAGCCATAGTTTCATCTTAGAACAGTCAGACCTCAAGGTGCCACCCAAAATGCAGACTGTACATTATCCTGATAATAAAGGTAAAGCGTCGGTGAAGAGTAACAGTTCCTAGCAAGCCGTTTTATCGAAGATAAATAAATATAAAATACACACTAAAATGTTTTGATCACTTTACATGTTAAAATGTTTAAATAGTACCTGAAAAATAGAGCCTAATATGTGAAGTAGTTGTTTTTGAGAAATATCAGAACATGTGATAACCATTTCTGAGAATAATAAGTAAAGTTTCATAATTTTTTTAGTCATCAATAGCGTCATAGCGCTGAGTTCCCTAAATTCCCCAAAAAGCAAGCGGGGAGGATTGACAAATGCAGAAGGCCTATCATTAAAAAGAGACTGCAAATCGACAGCAACACAAAATCCCACTTGTTCCCCCTGCCACTCCCACCGTCTGTCTGATTCTTAAGCAAGGACAGTACAGTCGTCATTATTTCATTTTATTTATTTATTCATTTTTAGGTTTTGCATTTAAATAATTTCCGTGTGTTTTATTTCTCTCCAAACTGGCTCTGTGTGTGTGTCCGTGGGTCTATGCGCTGAGATGAGGAAACGCCTCCCCTACCCACTTATTATATGAACGTGCCTTGGCTAATTTCAATATATACTGTTATAGAGCTACTAAGTAATGAGAAACATTTCTAAACCTGTTGTCCAACAAAAGAGAACATTATAATATGCTTTTATTCGACAACATCAGTTGAGTGTTTGAAATAACTTCCTTTTGTGATCTGATGTGGCTTCTTATCATAGAATGAGGCAGAAAATATATTCTATACTGTAAAAAGGCTGTCGATTAGCAATGGATTATAAACAGTAGTGTTTAGGAAACACGCAATAGCATGGGGCCCCGTGGTCCAGGGGCCCCCGAGCAGAGGTGTCATGCCCATTCAAACCGAGGGGGCACGTGCCCCTCCAATTTTTGACTCAAGTGGATTTTGAATGCAGCTTCCAAAAGACAAAAAATAGCCTAATAATATTTTACATTTGATACGATCACACCATAATGATGATATCATCATCTGGTCAATTCAAATCTGCATTCACGCTTTGGCTGACGCTGAGCCAGAGACAGATGCGCTCACTTGTCATCTATCAAAACTTTTCAGTGTTTTCAACCATCAGTGTTTCCCTCAGACTTACACTCTATGTGTGGCGGCACTTTCCCTGGGGGGGATATATATATATATATATGTATATGTATATAATGTAAATATAAAACAGCAGACTGGCTTATTGAAAGTGCAAATTCATTCTCTGCCAGCAGGAGGCGCTTTAGGAGCGCAAGAAATAGCAGTTTCCCCGGTAACGGCTGTAATCAAAGCAGCACTGCGCTCATGAACGCTACTTTATCAGGCATTATAGGAAAGATTTCTACTGAGGGGGGCCCCCAAGGATCGCTTGTTTGGGGCCCCCAAAACTCTAAACACGCCCCTGATTATAAATATACATAATTATTATGAAAATACCCTAGGTGGCTTGAAGAACACAGATAAACTATATATTTTCGCAGTCGAGTGATTATTTGTCTTCATGTTTTATCATTCAAAACGTTTCTATCTTTTAATTCAGCTACAGCTAGCGATAGCTGGATGCCTTTGTCCATATTAGGGATTTCCTGGAGCATAATTGGTTCTATTACTTCTGTGATGCATATGTCGAGTTTCTGCGCGAGGGCGCCCTCCGGCTTCCAGTATGAATGAAACAGACATTACATGTGTTTATAAGCACATAATAATGGCCAATCCATAAAAATAATACTTCTCTCAAAAGAAATTTGAAGTAGACATATAATAATCCATGTTTCTAAGTTCCATATGAACCCCATGTCCCGTCCCGTCACACAGATTGTACTCAAAAAATTTTCCAAGGTTGGCAGGTCTGAACAGGGTTTGATCTTGTTGATAGAACACTTTGCCTGTAATTATTGTATTTAATCTGTATCCTTTTTTTGTGTTAAAACAGGTGTTACACTTAATTCAGGAGAGAAGGAACATCTGCCAGCTCAGAGCAGCAGCAGTCGGGTTCTTCATGCTATGAGACGTGGGTAAGAACTGTTTATAGGGTTGTTTATTGTCAGCTAAACTCAAGATGCACATGTTACGTCCCGTGACGTAATTGTGTATGTTGGGATATGGTCACATGTTTTTCTCTCCTCCTTCTCTCTCTCTGTCTCTCTCTCTCTCTCTCTCTCTCTCTCTGTCTTTGCCAAGCAGCCCTGCAAATCATCCACAGCTGATTGCAATTAGCGGCAGTGAGGTTTCCCTGTTACACAGCGTGCAACAGATATAAAGCAGCAGAGAGACACAGCTCAGGAGGAGTCCCTTATATGGTGTTATATGGTCCCTTATTGGTGTTAAATAGAGGGTTTTGTGTGAACCTTTATTAGAAATTTCAGTGGTGAAAGTGACAAGAGCTGGAATAGAGGAAAAGGAGATTACTCATCGTTAATTTATTTATTTAATCACATCTTTTAACATTGTTACTTCTGCTCCGTAACCCCTAGACAGAAGAGGGGAATGTAACACACATCACAATGCAGACAAAAGTGTGCAACACTTGGGTTCTAGTACTAAAAATGTCAAAACAGACTTACTATGAGATTAGTAATAATTTGTTTAATTCATCTATCTAGAACTCTATCTAGGTTATGTGCTTATAATGCAGGAAATTCCCACAAACATTTATTCATTATAGCAATATGGGTTGAATGAGTAAATTAATTTTTTATTAATTTACTCATTCATTTTACGAGGGAATCACTGCTAATGCCTCCTCTCTCTCTCTCTCTCTTAATACAGTGTGCAAATCGCTTTACATCACATCATGTCTGCACTGCAAGTGACCTGCATGCTGTGGTACAGATTCAACAAGAGGCCCAAAACTGTGCAAATCGCTTCACATCACAACATCATGGGGCAGATTTAGTAACAGCGCAAAACCTCTTTTGGTGTTAAAAAAAGTACTGTCAGGTTTACTAAAGATGAGCAGTAAAAAAATTAACGATGAAAAACATGAACACATAAATTTTTGCGGCTGACCTTATTGCATATGCATTTGTAGGAGTTTCCCTTTCAGATGCCAAATGTATGGGAGGAGAGTATTTTAATTAATCACGCAACATGATTTACTAAGGTTTGCAGTAGTCAATTTATGGGTATTTGTATTATTTATAAATTTATGGGTATTATTTACTGCTCAAAAAAGGCATGTCTTAATACCAGAGCATTAGCATCAGATCTTCTTGTTTGCGATCTTACACTAATTTGCACTACTCTCGGTAGTTTGCGTTGGTCATTAATTTGCACATTGTCATTAGATCACCCGAAAAACTTTCCACTCCCATCTGCGCTTTTTTTTTGCCTTTAGTAAATCTGGCCTCATGCCTGTACTACAAGTGACCTGCACGCTGTGATACAGATTCAACAAGGGGGCCGAAAATTCCCCCATACCATTACCCCATCACCACCATCTGAACCGTTGCTGCAAGTCAGGATGGATCCATGCTTTCATGTTGTTTACACCAAATTCTGACCTTACCAAATGAATGTTGCAGCAGAAATTGAGACTCATCAGACCAGGCAACCTTTTTCCAATCTTCTATTGCCAATTTTGTTGAGCTGGTGCAAATTGTAGACTCAGTCTCCCATACTTAGCTGACAGAAGTGGCACCGGTGTGGTCTTCTGCTGCTGAAGCCCGTCTGCTTCAGGGTTCGGCATGTTGTGCGTTCAGAGATGCTGTTCTACGTACCTGGGTTGTAACAAATGGTTATTTGAGTTACTGTTGTCTTTCTATCAGATCAAACCAGTCTGGCAGTTCTCCTCTGACCTCTGGCATTAACAAGTCAAGTCACCTTTATTTACATAGTGCTTCATACAATACAGATTATGTCAAAGCAGCTTTACAGTATTAAACAGGAAAATAGTGTGTCAATAATGCAAGGCATTAACAAGGCATTTTTGCCCACAGAACTGCCACTCAACTAGATATTTTCTATTTTTTTAAGACCTTTGTCTGTAAATCCTAGACATCCTAGAGACACCAACAACCATTCCATGTTCAAAGTCACTTAAATCACCCTTTCTTCCCCATTCTGATGCTCGGTTTGAACTTCAGCAGATCGTCTTTACCATGTCTACATGCCTAAATGCATTGAGTTGCTGGCATGTGATTTGCTGATTAGATATTTGCATTAACAAGCAGTTGAACAGATGTACTTAAGAAAATGGCCGGTAAATGTATTTTCATACCCCTATACACACAGTATAGCAAAATCTCTGGTGATACCTTACATCGCCGACACTATATATATCAACATATTGTCCAGCCCTAGTTTTGTGCTCTGTGAAGAGTGTCAAAAGTTTCTATTTTTCAGATTTTTTGAAGTGTTCAGCATTGTAGCCAATCAAAAATCTGAACAAAATAGATCTGTGTATTTAGTGTTGTAGTATACATGTAGACTAATGTGCTAATATTTCAATGCAATATTTAAAGGGATAGTCCACTCCTCCCAGGTCTAGAAACGTAGTAAGGACATCGGTAAAACAGTTCATGTGACATCAGTGCCTTAACTTCAATTTTGCGAAGCTACGAGAATACTTTTTGTGCGCAAAGAAGAAAAAAAAACTTTGACTTTATTCAACAATTCTTCTCCCCCGAGTTACCGTCTTCCGCCATTTTAGAGAGTATCACAACGCATACGCACGCTTTCCCCTAAGCGTAAACAACGCTGATTACGCAGATTACGTTCCTGTGCGCGCTTTCCCCCTGAACGAATACGTTCGAATACGTTCTTGGATACTCTCCAAAATGGCGGAAGACGTAACTTGGTGGAGAAGAATTGTTGAATAAATTATTTTTGTTTTCTTTGTGCACAAAAAGTATTCTCGTAGCTTCGCAAAATTGAAGTTGAGCCACTGATGTCACATGGACTGTTTTACCGATGTCCTTACTACGTTTCTGGACCTGGGAACAGTACAGTTGCGTTGCGGTCTGTGGAGGGTAAGAGAGCTCTCCGATTTCATCAAAAATATCTTAATTTGTGTTCCGAAGATGAACGAAGATCTTAGGGGTTTTGAACGACACGAGGGTGAGTAATTAATGACAGAATTTTCCTTTTTGGGTGAACTATCCCTTTAATGCAATACATTTTCGTGATTATAACATCCATGGTGGATGTTGGGCCCCTTATTGTGAGTTAGTTCCGTCAGCCATGTTCTGCGTTTGGGATGACTGCAGTTCAAACTGTGCATTTTAAACAACAGTTTTTCTCACTCCTCAAGGTGAGGCAGACAGGAATTCCGGTGAATTACTCAGGGTACAGTGTTCCCATAGAGTCCTCTATTGATGCAGCATCGAGTGAACCTATGAAAGGGAACGTCTCGGTTACGTATGTAACCTTGGCTCTCTAAGTAAGGAACGAGATGCTGTGTAACTCTGCCATACTTCGTTACTGCTACACTTCCTTCATCTGCTGGCACCATCAGCTAATGAATTGGAGTGATTGTATACAAGCTTCAGGCTATCGTCACACCTGGATAGTGTTTCATAGTGTCAGCTACTGATGCAGCACCTTGTTTCCTACTCAGGGAAGGGAACGAAGGTTACAAACATAACCAAGGCACACTCTCTTGTGCCTGATAGAAGCACCTTGAGAAACACCAGTGTTGTTTGTAGTTGCTGATTATTTATAGAACCTGCTTTTTTATAACTGAACTCATAGGGCATGATGTGAATGCAATAATAAATATTAAGACAAGAATTTAAATTCCTTCAGTCTGTCTTTTTTTTTCTTTCTCAGTTACACCCGATAGGCTTATCTTGATCTTGTTGAAAACATTCGTGAAATAATACCAGGTAGGCTGTCATTATGAAATATGCCAATTGAAAATCACTGATTAGTACTGGGACAAAACTACTTACAAAACCGACAAAAATGTTCATGTAACAAGGAATTATTTTGCATTATCTGTCAGACATGTTCAGGGGTATTTGCTATCTTTGTCTGATTTCAAGCAATTTGTCAAATAACTATAAATAATGACAAATCTGTCTTGCAATGTTTGAGTAAATTGTCAGTACAGGATGATTTTAAACTGACTTCATATAAGAAAAGTAATTTCATTTTCCATTCAGCATAATACGAGCATAAAGTTTTTTTTTTCTTTTGTTTAAAAGAACTATATTTTCTTGGTAATTCTGAATGGTGTGGTACTCGCTCTTGGGCGTCAGTTAGATGAGAACACTTTTACTCTTGTAAGACGAGTAGTAATTTTTTGTATTTTTTTTTAACCACATGTAGCAGTAAGAGGTCTACACTCATGTCCTTAATTTTTTGGATTTAAGATGTTCACTGTAATTACTCTTAATTTTAATGCTGTATCCAGTAGCTTAGTTAACAATTTATTTATTTTTATCATATTTTCTAGGCTATATATTCTCTTCTATTTGCACCCACTGCTTCTTATACCAATGACAGAAAAACACAGTTAGAATTGTGAAATATGTGGGAGAGCATTTTTTTGGTCTGACTAGATTGTATTACAATAGATAGTACATCAATATTAATACTTATTCAACACAGAATGCATTTTTACATTGAAAAACACTAGATGCAGGCAGTGGAATGGGGGCAAAAATATACCCCAACCATACCTGCATCCAAACCTCAGCAATATTTTTGCGTACTGTATGTATACAATGAACTACATTATCAAATTTTATAATGTAAAAGCATAGTAGTTAAAGACACTTAATATAAAGTGGGACGAGAGAGGTATATTTTTTAAAATGAACAATCTGTCAGGACATAATAGTATATGCTATTAATAGAAGTACATTCAAGATACACGTATATACTGTTTTTATCTAGTTTAACATATTTTTTATAGATAAATTAATATATTTATCTAAATAAAGTATTGAGTTATGGTTTGAGGTCAGGTGGTTTTAGCGTTAGTGAGAAATAATTGTCTTAATAAATTTAATAAGACACAATGCATGTTCCAAAGAACAGTTTGAAAACTAATGGCTGACAAAGTTGTTTTCATGTTTTCTCATGATATGATGTGATGAAGTGCAGTAATGAAGTAAATGAAGTGCAGTGGTTTATGATGTTCCTCTCTGTCCCTGATAAATCCTGTTTCAGGAGTCAGTCTGAGCAGTGATTTCATCACAGGATTCTGCGGAGAGACTGAAGAAGACCATCAGCAGACACTTTCCCTTGTCAGGGAGGTGGGCTATAACGTGGGCTTTCTCTTCGCCTACAGCATGAGGAAGCTCTGATCTAATTGTTGCTCTTCCTGCCAGATTGCAGAGTTCCCATGGTACAAAATTTGAATTACATAAAAAAAAACTAATGGAAACCAGTACAAGTGGTAGAAATGTCTAAAGTGAATATAGTTTAATCATTTCATCAGCAATATACTGTTTTTCTGTGAGTGCTGATGTAGAGTGAAACCAGCATGATAATATCAGTCACTTTTATTGGGGTTTTATTGGAGATGTTTTTTCCCTAATAAACAACTAAATCTGCTAGTTCAAAAGAATGGTACCTAATGTACAAAATTGAAAGCCGAAGCAAACTCTATAGAATAATTAAAATCTGGGATAGGAAAAAGTATTCTGACTATGGCTTTTTTCCGTGCTTATCTCTCTTTAGAAAACCCATGCATATGAAAACCGGCTGCAAGATGATGTTCCTGCACCAGTGAAACAGCGCCGTCTGGAGGAACTCATCTCGGTTTTTAGAGAAGAGGCTGCTAAAGTCAACATAGCTCTTATTGGCAGCACACAGCTGGTGTTGGTAGAGGGAGTGAGTATAACAGCCTACTTCAGGATGTTTTACCTCATTTTCTCCACGGCTTGTAAGGGTTGCTTAAACCCTAGAAGACGCTGAAGAAAAACGCTAAACAGATATCCAGTACATATGTACAGGTATGTGATTAGCGTGATTAGCTCTTACAGAATTTTGTTTTTCTTTCTTGATATTTTACAGGAGAGTAAAAGATCTTCTGAGGAACTTTGTGGTCGAAATGAGATAAATGTGAAAGTGATTTTTCCTGAAACAGATTTGCCTGTTCAGCCAGAGAAACCTCAGATGGTCCCCATTACACCCGGAGATTATGTGTTAGTCAAGGTAAACTATGGGCTAACAGTTTCTCTAATATTGAAATAATCATTTTATTGTCATATCAAGCCAATTTTATTTGTATGGCACAATACAAAAGAATGTTGTGTTCGATAGTATCAAATGCAGTGCTAAGATCCAGTGGCACTAATAGAGAGATACAACCACAATCAGATGATAAGAGCAGGTCATTTATAACTCTGATGGAGCCGTCTAGCAGCAGTTGGATGTTTTGACCTGCCCTTCAGTCTGTAATTCATGCAATGCAATCATGAAATGCAATGTGATGCCAGAAACAATAACAGAATATGAAAGAGTTTGTGAATACACACTATATACACACAAATGCACACAAATTATTAATTCACTGAAAACTGGACGTGAGTTACTATTCCCTGTGCCATGTTTTCACTTAATTAGCACTGTTTTGCACTGACTGTTTAGACTGAAAACTTTCCCGTTGTTTAGTGGCTTAAAGGGTTAGTTCACCCAAAAATGAAAATTCTGTCATTAATTACTCACCCTCATGTCGTTCTAATCCCGTAAGACCTCCGTTCATCTTTGGAACACAAATTAAGATATTTTTGATGAAATCTGAGAGCTCTCTGACTCTCCCATAGACAGCAATGTAATTACCACGATCAAGGTCCAGAAACGTAGCAAGGAGATCGGTTAAATAATCCATGTGACATGAGGGGTTTAACAGTAATTTTACGGTCTTACGGTAATTAATGACAGAATTTTCATTTTTGGGTGAACTATCCCTTTAAATGATCTGATAGCAAACGTAGGAGCTGAAACATAGCAGTCTCTTGTCTAAAACAGTATATAATTTATGTTGATTCATTAAGTAATATAAAACAAAGCAATCACCTGTATGCTCTGTACTGCGGGTTAAAGGGCCATCAGGTTTAACTATTTGATTGAACTGTAAGATTAGTGTCTAAGTGTCTATGGCAGGGGTGTCCAGTTCTGCTTCTGGAGTACCACACTGTCCTGCAGAGTTTAGCTTAGTTTAGCTTGCAGTATATCTGGTAGTTGTTTTTTACTTTTTCATCCTTCATCGTACCAATGTGTAGGCAGCAATAGGCCATCTTTTCAGTGGATGCCATCTGTTCTGAATGGCATCTACACTAATATTATTTAATTTGTGACAATAGTGACAATGAATTTTAGCTAATATGCTTGTATTTTTTGGGTTTAGTAATCACTCCAGCTGCTGCATTTTTAACTAACTAGCTAATTTAAAGGGGTCATATGATGCGATTTCAATTTTTCCTTTCTCTTTGGAGTGTTACAAGCTCTTGGTGCATAAAGAAGATCTGTAAAGTTGCAAAGACTAAAGTCTCAAATCCAAAGAGATATTCTTTATAAAAGTTAAGAGTCAGCCACGCCTACCTAAAACGGCTCGTTCTAACATGCCCGTGGTTGCCGCAAGCCCGCCGGACGCTCCTTCGTCGAATCTGCCGCCTCTGCTCACTCTAGCCCTCCGGCCTCTGCTCACTCTAGCCCTCCGGCCTCTGCTCACTCTAGCCCTCCGGCCGTTCCTCACTCTAGCCCCCGGCTTCTGCTCACTCTAGGCTGCCGCCGCTCACTTTAGGCCGCCGTGTGTGACTCTGTGTTTTGTTGTGAAAGCGAAACTACTTTGTTTGGTCTTCCAAAAGAGGACGATATCTGCTTCGTCATGCCTGGAGCTGATCCGTGCTGGTTGCTGAGGAAATACATCAACTTTCGCCTCTGCTCACTCTAGCACTCCGGCCGTTCCTCACTTTAGCCCCCGGCCTCTGCTCACTCTAGGCCGCCGCCGCTCAATCTAGGCCACCGTGTGTGACGCTGTGTTTCGTTTTGTGAGCGAAACTACTTTGTTTGGCCTTCCAAAAATGGACACGACTAGAAATCAGTGGTTAAGTTGTATTTACAACACTGTTCCAGAACACTTCAACCCAAATATTCAGATGTGTGCAGCACATTTTATGGAGGACCGTTTCCTGATCCTGGGAGAGTAACGTTAGACTAAAATGCCGGCAGTTCTGACTCACGTAAGTACGTTTTCATTTAAAGAATTTGCCACTGATGATTCAAACGCAAGTTTTGAGCAGTGAGTATCGCTTGTTGTTTGTCATTTCTCCGATCACAAATGCAGACATGGTTTAATGTTACGCTCCGGCC